GAAATTGTTGTTTTAGATATACTAGATTCTATTTAGATATACTAAAGAAACTGGAAAAGGTGCAAAGACATGCTACTAAGTGGCTCCCAGAACTGAAGGGCAAGAGCTACGAGGAGAGGTTAGAGGCATTAAATATGCCAAAACTAGAAGACAGAAGAAAAAAAGGTGATATGATCACTACGTACAAAATAGTAACAGAAATTGATAAAATTGATAGGGAAGATTTCCTGAGACCTGGAACTTCAAGAACAAGAGGTCATTGATTTAAACTAACTAAACACAGATGCCGAAGAAATATAAGAAAATTCACTTTCGTAAACAGAGTGGTAGACGGTTGGAACAAGTTAAGTGAGAAGTTGGTGGAGGCCAAGACCGTCAGTAGTTTCAAAGCGTTATATGACAAAGAGTGCTGGGAAGACGGGACACCACGAGCGTAGCTCTCATCCTGTAATTACACTTAGGTAATTATACACACACACACACACACACACACACACACACACCGGAGGCCAGACACTGGATACACTTAGGTAATTACTTAGGTAATTATACACACACACACACACACACACACACACACACACACACACACACACACACACACACACACACACACACACACACACACACACCGGAGGCCAGACACTGGATACCGAATGGGTCCAGTGATGAAGTCCTTCACGAAACGAACAGAGAGAAAGATCTAGGAGTTGATATCACACCAAACCAGTCTCCTGAAGCCCACATCAAAAGAATAACATCAGCGGCCTATGCGAGGCTGGCTAACATCAGAACTGCTTTCAGAAGCCTGTGTAAGGAATCCATTAGAACCTTGTATACCACATATGTAAGGCCAATCCTGGAGTATGCGGCCCCAGCATGGAGCCCGTACCTTGTCAAGCACAAGACGAAGCTGGAAAAAGTTCAGAGGTATACCACTAGGCTAGTCCCAGAACTAAGAGGCATGAGTTATGAGGAAAGGCTGCGGGAAATGCACCTTACGTCGCTGAAGACAGAAAAGCTCGGGGAGACATGATCACCATATGCAAAATTATCAGGGGAATTGATTGGGTAGACAAGGATGGATTATTTAACACGGGTGGCACACGCACAAAGGGACACAGAGACGTTAGAAAGAATTTGTTCAATGTCAGAGTAGTTAACAGGTGGAATGCATTTGGCAGTGATGTGGTGGAGGCTGACTCCATACACAGTTTCAAGTGTAGATATGATAGAGCCCAGTAGGCTCAAGAACCTGTACACCAGTTGATTGACAGTTGAGAGGCGGGACCAAAGAGCCAGAGCTCAACCCCCGCAAGCACAACTAAGCGAGTATACACACACACACACCAAGAAGCAGCAGTTTAACTCCCAGGTACCTATTAACTACTAGGTGAACAGGCCATCATCGTTAAAAAAAACTTGGTCCATTTGTTTCCATCAGACCCGGACTATTAGGATACACGACCCCAGAGCGAAGTACATACAGCCTCGAGGTCCCTCTGTATACGTGTGTAATAAGAAGGAGGAAAAATATCCCAAAATGATATGATGCCAAAATTTCCGCCCATAGTCATCATATTCAGAATTCTCTGAGTCTACTGCGTACTTGTGGGTGAAGCTCTGCTCTTGGAGAAGATCTACAAGGTAAATACCGACCATTTCTTATGCGTGTCTACGCATGGTCAATTCGGCTCACTTCAAATGCGTGTTCTGGTATGGAGAAATACAGTTCATTATGAATTCTTGTCTGTGTATGGGATATTCTGCTCAAGGTGTAAGCATAGGGTCTTGGCGTGTCCTAGTGAGGGGGAGACTGCTCAAGAACGACCTGGTCAGCGTTGGTGGTCTGAGGGACGGGTAGTTATGGTGCTCTGAGTGACCATCTTGAGACGAACAGCACTCAGATGCACGCACGTGTGTGTGTTGATGTTGGGTGAGCAGCGACTGCATGGTAGGTTTTAATATTGGATTACTTCCGCAGAGAGAAAGAGAGAGACAGGCAGACAGACAGACCGATTGAGACAGAGAAAGACAGACATACAGAGATAGAGAGATAAAGAGACAGAGAGAAGGAGAGAGAAACACAGAGATAGACTGAGACAGAGAGAGAGAGAGAGGGAGGCAGAGAGTAGAGAGTTGTTCTATAATTTGTGTATATTCACATATTTGTGCCTGCAGGACCGAGGTATTAGCTCTCGGGCTCCGCCTATCTAACCGTCTATTGTCTAATGTACTGACTTCCAACCTATTTTCTGTAACATGTCTACTATATATTTCTCACTCCCGTTCGCACACACACATCCCCCAAGATGCAGCCCCCGACAGCTGTCTAACCTCCAGGTACCTAGCTCCTGCTAGGTGAACAGAGGCATCAGGCGAATGAAACTCAATTTGTTTTTGTCACAGACTGGGAACTGAACCCGGGTACATTTGACTGCGACTCTATAAACTCTGAGCTCTCGGCCGCGAGGACCGGTATGCACTCAAATATGTTCATGTCAGAAGGGCAGAGCTGGGTGTTGACATTCCCTGGTGGAGCTAGAAACACTATACTAATGATAAAACAAAATAGCATTTTATCAGATAATCACCTTATGAGAAAGTACTTGTCTAAGGGACGATACTCCTCCAAGGCAGCCAGCAGCTCCTTCTGGCGGAGGTGAACCATAAGGGCACCTTGAAGGAGGAGCTCATTGATAAATGCAGCCGGTAATGCCGCAGTAACCTGGCTGAAGACGCAATACATCTTATTTCTATGGGCTCACCATAGCCTGTGTTACATGGAACTTTTTGTTCCAGGTAGCGAATCTTTAACAACAACATATTTCTGTTATATTATTTGTCTCTTCAGCTTCATTTTCGGAAGAATAGTTTAGATTTATCATCGATATATACCATGTTCAACAGGTAGCAAGTGGCAGGTTGGGAGTCTGGTGTGTACACACGTGGCGGGCGCGCGCGCACACACACACACATACACACAAAAGAAGAAGACCTGGACAAGCTGCAGGAATGGTCGAACAAATGGTTGTTAGAGTTTAACCCAAGCAAATGTAATGTAATGAAGATAGGGGTAGGAAGCAGGAGACCAGATACAAGGTATCATTTGGGAGATGAGATACTTCAAGAGTCAGAGAGAGAAAAAAACCTGGGGGTTGATATCACGCCAGACCTGTCCCCTGAAGCTCATATCAAGAGGATAACAGCAGCAGCAAATGCCAGGTTGGCTAACATAAGAACGGCCTTTAGAAACTTGTGTAAGGAATCTTTCAGAACATTATATACCACATATGTCAGAACAATCCTGGAGTATGCGGCTCCAGCATGGAGTCCATATCTAATCAAGCATAAGACAAAACTGGAAAAGGTTCAAAGGTTTGCCACCAGACTAGTACCCGAACTGAGAGGTATGAGCTACGAGGAGAGACTATGGGAATTAAACCTCACTTCGTTGGAAGACAGAAGAGTTAGGAGGGACATGATCACCGCATTCAAGATTCTCAAGGGAATCGATAAAAGTAGATAAAGACAGGCTATTTAACACAAGGGGCACACGCACAAGAGGACACAGGTGGAAACTGAGTGCCCAAATGAGCCACAGAGATATTAGAAAGAACTTTTTAAGTGTCAGAGTGGTTGACAAATGGAATGCCTTAGGAAGTGATGTGGTGGAGGATGACTCCATACACAGTTTCAAGTGTAGATGTGATAGAGCCCAGTAGGCTCAGGAACCTGTACACCAGTTGATTGACGGTTGAGAGGCGGGACTAAAGAGCCAGAGCTGAACCCTCGCAAGCACAATTAGGTGACTAGGTGAGTACACACACACACACACACACACACACACACACACACACACACACACACACATGTACGGCTCTGCGTAGCTTTATAAGGTAAATGCAGGTCATTTTGCACGCATGTCTGAGTATGGTTCAATACCCGTGTGTCTCTGTGTATAGTAAAGACAATCTTGACAGGCCAGCTCAGTAGATACAATACAGAAACAGACTCTGGCACTGTTCTCAGGATGTGAGATAACTGTGGTGTCGTGAACGACTGTGTACACCTTCGTGTGCGTCTTGTAGAGCACTGCCACTCCAGGCTACCTTGTGTGCACTTGCCAGAGTTCATTTTGGGTCGTCTCCCTCTTTTTCACAACTTGTATTTAATATAATTACCTTCCGCCTCTCAGATTTCAATCTTGAGGAACTATTTGGACTGTCAGATCTCCATTTGAACCCATGTGTTACCAGCACTGACGGGATGGAATCCTCCTCCGAGGATATAATGGGCTTAGAGGAGGGAAAACATAGGAAAGTGAACAATAAAGCCGGAATTGTTCTCCTCAGGATGAGCAGCAACAGTCTGGAGCGGCGGAGGAGGAGTGCCAAGGTGACGTGTCCCATGATGCTCGCTGCCTTCACCTTCGTCTGTGTCACTTCCCACGTCATCATCACCGTCATCATCAACCCCGGTGAGATAATGATACTTTGGCAACACTGGACACGAGTATACGACATTGGCAACACTGGACACGAATACACAAAATTGGCAACACTGGACACGAGTTTACAACATTGGCAACACTGGACACGAGTATACGACATTGGCAACACTGGACACGAGTACACAACATTGGCAACACTGGACACGAGTACACAACATTGGCAACACTGGACGAGAGTATTCAACATTGGCAACACTGGACGAGTGTTCAACATTGGCAACACTGGACACGAGTATTCAACATTGGCAACACTGGACACGAGTACACAACATTGGCAACACTGGACGAGAGTATTCAACATTGGCAACACTGGACGAGTGTTCAACATTGGCAACACTGGACAAGAGTATTCAACATTGGCAACACTGGACAAGAGTATTCAACATTGGCAACACTGAACAAGAGTATTCAACATTGGCAACACTGGACACGCGTATTCAACATTGGAAACACTGGACAAGAGTATTCAACATTGGCAACACTGGACATGAGTATTCAACATTGGCAACACTGGACACGAGTATTCAACATTGGCAACACTGGACATGAGTATATTCAACATTGGCAACACTGGACACGAGTATTCAACATTGGCAACACTGGACACGAGTATTCAACATTGGCAACACTGGACACGAGCATATTCAACATTGGCAACACTGGACAAGAGTATTCAACATTGGCAACACTGGACATGAGTATATTCAACATTGGCAACACTGGACAAGAGTATTCAACATTGGCAACACTGGACACAAGTATACAACATTGGCAACACTGGACACGAGCATATTCAACATTGGCAACACTGGACACGAGTATTCAACATTGGCAACACTGGACAAGAGTATTCAACATTGGCAACACTGGACAAGAGTATTCAACATTGGCAACACTGGACACAAGTATACAACATTGGCAACACTGGACACGAGTATACGACACTGGCACTCCACCTAATGCCTCTGTTCACCTTCCTTACCTTGCGACGGTTTCGGGCTGAACGTCCCCGCGGCCCGGTCCTCGACCAGGCCTCAAACCTAACAGTAAATATGTAACTTGAAGTTAAACGAGTGTTGTGAATTATATGAAAGATCAGAAGATAGCTGCGAGGACCTTGATATCCATAACAGCTTCTCTCTCCCCGAATTTGAGTTGTTGTTGTTAAAATTTGAGTTGTTGTTGTTAAAAGATTCGCTACCTGGAACAGAGTTCCAAGTAGCACGGGCTATGGTGAGCCCGTTGTGCCTCCGAATTTGAGTTACAATTACACCTTTTAACTCGGTTGACTGCGCACTTACCGGTAGTTATGATGAGCACGCCACTGTCTGAGACTCATAATAACTACATCCCCGATATTCTTACCGCCTTTGGCATGATTTAATTACAATATCATCTAATCTTATCTTATTAGTGTTCTCTTCCCCTGCAGTATTAGAGGACAGAAAGGTTGGAAACGGAGTGTTGACGGAAGAGACGTTCCTTGGGGCTCACCAGGATGACCCGGCACTGGTGACTTACATCCGGCAGCACCTCTTAGTGGCGCCCTCCACCTTGCCCTACAACCTCTCCCGTCCACAGGTCACACACTTCTCTCAGTACGGCCAGAGCCAGTACGCTAACAACGTCATCCTTCGTAACATGGTGAGTGTGTTGGCAGTGAAGCAACACTCACTTCAGGCTTTTCTCATTTGATTTTCTAAGCACTTAAACTTAAATGTGCGTGTGTGTGTACGCGCACACGCACACACAGGCCCCTTGACAGTTGAGAGGCGGGATCAAAGAGCCAGAGCTCAACCCCTACAAACACAACTAGGTGAGTACACACACAGGTGCTAGAAGAAAGCAAATGTGCTGCTAATTTTCAAGAAAGGAGATAGGGAAGAGGCATTTAGCTAGACCAGTATCACTGACAAGCATCTCCTGTAAAGACTTGAAAGAGTAATCAGGTTAATTAAGACTGGGTCACACTTAGAGGGAATTAGGTACTGTTATGATATGAGTCAACTTGGTCTAGACCGCCTTCATATGAGAGTTGTCCCTGGGCGTTCCTCCCTTAACTGAGGAAACGTTAATTCCATATCCAATTCAGGGATAGAAAATGTGGAGATAAATGTGATAAATAATATAGGACATTAACATTAATATGGGAGAGAGAGAGAGAGTGTGAGTGTGTGTGTGTGTGTGTGTGTGTGTGTGTGTGTGTGTGTGTGTGTGTGTGTGTGTGTGTGTGTGTGTGTGTGTGTGTGTGTGTGTGTGTGTAGGGAAGGGAATTATCAGGGGAAAGCGCCAGGCCATTAGACTACAATAGCACTGGGAAGGGATCGGGACCAGGATTTGGGATGGGACAGGGGGGGGGGGGGGAATGGAGCCCAACCACTTGGACGGACGGAGGATTAAACCCTGACTTGCATGAAGCGAGACCTTCGCTCTACCCTCCAGCCAAAGTGGTTGGGTGGGAGATTCTGCAGATATCAAACGTCAAATATCCCTTCTTCTTTCCTGGTGTGCGTGTGCATGTGCGTGCACTCGCTCACGGACACACACACACGGTTGGAACAAGTTAAGTGAGAAGGTAGTGGAGGCCAAGACCGTCAATAGTTTCAAAGCGTTGTATGACAAAGAGTGCTGGGAAGACGGGACACCACGAGCGTAGCTCTCATCCTGTAACTACACTTAGGTAATTACACTTAGGTAATTACACACACACACACACACACACACACACACACACACACACACACCAGGAAAGAAGGAGAGATATTTGACGTCCAGTATCTTCCTCCCTTGGGAAAGAGTGATCATATCCTGTTGGAAGTTAATTATGCCTTGCGATATAATCTAGAAGAGAATGGGGACATTGTAACTGTTAATAAATTCGACTTCAAGAGAGGACACTATGGGGGAACTTAGAAAATTCTTTAATTAATTTAATTCGGCATTGTTGCTAGGCAAGTAAGTAAATGAAATGTACGCCAAATTTGGGCGAAATATACGATGAAGACTCAAACATTAATACCAAAACAGAGATGCAGGACTAGAAAACAGGATTGGTTCAACAGAAATTGTGAGAGGGCCAGAGAGGAAAATACAAGAAAATGGGTACAATATAGGAAGAGGTCTAACCCACAAACACACAAGCACTACAAACAAGCAAGACCCAATTACGCAGCATTGAGGAGAGAGGCAGCATGGAACTTTGGGAAATGTATAGCAAATGTAAAACAGATAAATAAAACAGTTGGACTTGATGGAGTTTTATATTGGGTGCTGCGAGAATGTGCAACTGAGCTGAGCATTGCATCCCAATTAATGTTCCAGACATCCTTGTGCACAGGAATCTTAGCAGATATATGGAAAAGGGCAATCATAGCACCAATCTATAAAAATGGAAGTCGAGAGGAACCTCTAAATTATAGGCCTGTATCATTAACAAGCGTGGTAGTCAAAACACTAGCAACAAATAAAGCCAAATAGGTTGAACACCTAGAGAGTAATGACATAATAACGGACAGACAGTAAGGTTTTCGAACAGGAAGATCCTGTGTAACAACTCATCTTAGTTTTTATGATAGAGCCGCAGAGATAATACTGGAAAGAGATGGTTGGGTTGACTGTGTCTATCTGGACCTAAAAAAAGGCTTTTGACAGAGTCCTATACAAGAGGCTGTTCTGGAAACTAAAATATGCTGGAGGAGTGACAGGAAGACTTCTGACATTGATGATTTTTTTTTAACCGACAGACAGACAAATGAGGGCGGTAACCAGAGACAGTGTACCTGACATGTATCCGTTAGTGTTACCAGCGGAGTACCACAGGGCTCAGTTCTTGCACCAGTAATGTTCATCGTCTACATAAACCATCTACCAGAAGGAATACAGAATTATATGAACATGTTTGCAAATGATGCTAAGATACTGGGGAAGACAGGAGACGCAGGCGATTGTAATGCCCTTCAAATCTATCTAGATAAAATAAGTGCTTTGGAGCATCAAGTGGCAAATGAAAGTCAATGTGAATAAATGCCATGTTATGGAATGTGGAATCGGAGAAAATAGACCACACACAACTTACAAATTATGTAGAAAGGAATTACAGAACTCTAATAAAAATGGAGACCTGGGGGTGGTTTTGTATAGCAAACTGTTGCCAGAGGTTCGCATAAAGAACATTGTGAGAGGAGCGTCTGCGTCGCTTTCCAACTTCAGACTTGCTTTGAATTATATTGATGGTGAAATACTAAAACTGTTTATGACTTTTGTGAGACCAAAATTGAAATATGTAGCAGTTGTATGGTGCCCAAATCTCAAGAAACACATATAGAAACTGAAAAAGGCGCAAAGGCATGCTACAAAATGGCTTCTGAAACTTAAAAACGAGTTACAAGAAGAGACAAGAGGCGTTAAACATACCAAACTAGAAGATAAAAGAAAAAGAGGTGGTATGATCACTTACAAAATACTAACAGGAATCGACCAAATTGACAAAGAGGAATTCCTGCAACTTCACAAAGAAGACGACAAAGATTCAAGCTAAGGAAACAAAGGTGCTGAGAAAATATTAGAAAGTTTTCCTTAACAGAGTGGTAGACGGTTGGAACAAGTTAAGTGAGAAGGTGGTGGAGGCCAAAACCGTCAGTAGTTTCAAAGCGTTATATGACAAAAAGTACTGGGAAGACGGGACACCACGAGCGTAGCTCTCATCCTGTAATTACACTTAAGTAATTACACACACCTCTTTTGACTATCATCTCCCTGCCACCAACAATGCAATGGAATTAAAACCAGAAACTTAATCCGTAACAACTATACAAACATGACAATGTTGACTGGATTTAACAGGTGTGCAGCAGTCTAAATCAAACTTACTTTTTGGCATAGAGTAATATTTAGCTTAGAAGCTGAAAGGATATATATATATATATATATATATATATATATATATATATATATATATATATATATATATATATATATATATATATATATATATATATATATATGCGAACAAGCCTGAATGGTCCCCAGGACTATATGCAACCGAAAACTCACACCCCAGAAGCGACTCGAACCCATACTGCCAGGAGCAATGCAACTGGTATGATTAAGGCGTCCTGTACATACCCGTTGCATTGCTCCTGGCAGTATGGGTTCGAGTCATTTCTGGGGTGTGAGTTTTCAGTTATATATATATATATATATATATATATATATATATATATATATATATATGTATATATATATATGTATATATATATATGTATATATATATATATATATATATATATATTTATATATATATATATATATATATATATATATATTTATATATATATATATATATATATATATATATTGCAAAATCAACTTGAAGTTCACCATAAAGCAGCGAGACACATTGTCACTGCACATATCCTAATATTGGGATTATGTGAAGACACTTTGAAAGTGAACTAATATAAACTAATTATACCATGAAGTTATAGAAATTTGCACACCCTCATTCTACATTAGTAACAAAGAAAACAGGAATAAAGGCTTTTGGACGAAAACTTCGAGATATGATACACAAATGCAGATAGAATATCTAACAAAGGGAGTGAAATGAATGGAAAGACAAATGAAGCAGACTCTGATATAACAGTTATGGAAACAAATCTTTGCAGAAATAATCTCTGATGTAGCGTTCCTCAGCGGCTACCAGAATATACTATCATCAGGGAAAAGTTAGATGGAGTGAGTGGACATATTAATCACATAAATTAATGGCTCTTTGTGGGTAGTGATACTGCAGGAGTTAATGAATTCGAAAATTTCCTCACAGGAAAAGTTACAGGAGGAGGAACAAGAATAGTGATGGTAACTGTCTGCAACTCCCCTAGGCAGGTCCTCTGAAGGCCTAGGGGGAAAGTATCGTGACAATAACAGGACCTACTTGGAAATTATGCTAGAAGCTGCAGAAATGGTTTACTAGATGATAAGAAAGCTCCTAATCATGGGGAGATAAATTGAGGTGTCCACTGTGGAGGAATCAAGTCATAGGGAGCAAAACTAGTGGAAACAGCAGATAGGAATTTTCTGACACAACGCGAGAAAGAAGTATCGAGATTTAAGGGAGAAGACCTACCTGCTGGCTAGACCTTATCTTCACAAGGCGGCAGTCATCAAGAGCATAAGAAATGAGATACCTCTTGGAACCAGCGGCTGCTGTGTGTGGGCGCTTGACTACACAATAGTGATCAATAACAGAGAACAACAAAATTATGGTGTCTGGAGACTTGCATACAGGAAGGGGCACTGGATATGTGCGTTATAGATACTTGTATTATTTTTATGGGGAAATACAGTGGAAGAATGAATTAAGGAACACGTCAGCACAGAGCTTGTAATCCTGAAGTCCACAGAAGCGAGGACAAATACATCGCAACCAAAATACACGGGGATAAAATAATGCATCAGTTGAGATTGGAGAGCTGCCAAATAGGTGGAAAACAGCAAGTGTAGTACCAATTTATAGGACAGACGATGACAAGAGACGCCAAACTTCAGACAGGAATCACTGCCATATATATATATATACCATGCAAGGTTATAGCGAGAATAATGAGACCAGTGAAACACCTATAAACCATTAAATACATAACCAAAAGACAACACGAGTCCATAGAAGGGCCGTCCTGCCTAGCAAACTTCTAGCATAAGTTGCTGTTTTACAGGTTGTATACACTCTTTACGTTGACAAATTTTGCTGAAATCCCATCAATCAGAATGTCCCGTGCCTCTGTAATCAGTGCCGCTGCACCACAGACCGGAGGGTTCTTCGTGGAGGTTGGCGCTGTCAACGGCGAGTACTTAAGCAACACACTGTTCCTGGAGAGAGAGCTGGGCTGGTCTGGACTGCTGATCGAGCCGCTGGAGACCTACCACGACCTCCTCTACAAGCACCGGAAGGCCTACTCCATCAACGTCGCTCTCTCCCTCACCAACTTCACTACCCAGCTGACGTTCCAGTGAGTCTTAAATGCTTAAAGTAAGCCTATCTCCCTCTTGGCATTCAGCATTTGAGCTCAGATAAACATTAATAATTCTATTTTAAAATTTGTCCAGGGATTCACAGAATTATGTATACATATGTATAAGCTTACTTTGGAAACAGTCTTTTTTGTAGACATGACCACAATGCTTAGATCAGTAGTTCCCCACACTCTATACTTATTACCCTTTTTCATATAGCGTCTTTATTAATATCCCCTACACTCAGTATTAACTTTTATTACCAACCTGTGAGATGGTTACCCCCCCCCAAACCTCTACCCTCTGGTATCATACTGTACACTGCTTCAACCTATGGCCCGCTTCTTATTCCAAAAAGACCTCTCATGGGGCCATGGCCACAATTTGGAAACCAGTGACTTTGATCAATTATTCAAAAACTATTTATTTTTCTTTATGTTTTTCACTTGGGAGGAAGTTGAACAATTAACTCTGCAACGTTTATTTTGCAATTTTACTTGATCCGACGCGTATGTCGCGCTGAAGCTCTCGTCAGAATGGGAAAATTAATACTTAGGACAGTATCATTGTGAGTGAATTACCCAGTCAATGGGTCTGATTGATTGATTAATAAAGTTTAAGCCACCCAAGAGGTGGCACGGGTATAAATAGCCCGTAGGAGAGAACTCTATGGAACCATTACAAGTACACACAGAAATCACAATAGTGTAATACATCAAATTAACAAATCCACAAGGGCCATCACTTGTTCGAACACCCATGACGGCTCTTGTGGATTTGTTCACTAAAGGTACAAATGACTGATACTGGAGCTCTGTGGATGGATGAGGTCTTCATGGCCGTTCACAGTTCAAGGCCCGCAGGAGGCTTGCTCGCCAGGTTGCAGCATAATGTACAAGGCGACGCTTTATATCTAAACAGAGCCACGTCGGTCGTTTGGTACCATCAGGATCGTCGTCTTTTTCGAGGAAATCCATTTGTCCGTCTTGGAATTTGCGGTGGAATTCTGGGTCGCGGTATTTCTTCTTCTTCAGTATTGTGAGGTCAGTGTAGGAGTTCATGGTGTTGGCGTGGACATACACAGGGTGCGGGTATGTGTTCTGGCTGATTATATTGTTACATTTGAGGGACAGTTGTCGTCTGGTGTGAGTGTTGCCATTTAACTCGCTGGGCGGAATGAAGAGCACATGGCAAGTATTTTTGTCTTGATGACCAGACCACACACTAGAATGTGAAGGGACGACGACGTTTCGGTCCGTCCTGGACCATTCTCAAGTCGATTGTGATGAGGAAGAGAGAGAGAGAGAGAGAAGATTAAGCCACCCAAAAGGTGGCACGGGCATGAATAGCCCATAAGTGTTGGCCCTTTTGAACCATTTCCAGTATCAATAGATGATGCTGGAGATCTGTAGAGGTGCGACTGCACCCTGCGTGACGGGAGATGTCTCCCGTAATATGAGGAAGTAGAGACAGGCAATAAATAGGCACGAGAGGAGGGAAGTAAGGTGTAGTAGGGGGCTAGTAGTAGGAACTGCAGAGGGCCTATTGGCCCATACGAGGCAGTTCCTATTATAACCACCTAAAGAGAAGGAGAAAATAATAAGAGGAAAGCGAGGGAACGTAGAAAACAATGAACAGAAAAAAAAAAAATTCTTTGTCGTCGGTCGCAAGGCCGTTCTCGTCGACGTCGGTGGTGGCTCTGGAGAGCCTCCTGGTGTTGCTTGTGGGGGTTTCGGGAGGTCCGTCGTCGTATGTCATGTCTTCGATAGCACGAGCAGCCGGGGTGGGTGGCGTCCCACTTACCGGACTGGTTGTGGGGTTGGACGCTGGACCGGCAGCAGCTGGAAGAGCTGGGAGAAGGTGACCTGGTACCGTCACCGTCGGTAGTCCATTTGCGATGACCAGCGGGTTGGTGGTGTGGACGTATAGAACGTATATACACCGTCGTTGCCCACCAATTTGTCGCCGAAGTGTAGAATTACCGGTAGCAGGGTGTTGGTGGTAACTGCAGACTTGGTAGGTGGTAGTGAGGTGAGGGACCAGGCGGTGGTGAGGCAGCAGCAGCTTCCCCAGGTGTATTCTCAGGCAAGGCTGGGAAAACGGACGAAGCGGGTTGGCTGGCTGAGGTGCGGAGGAGGTATTGTTTGCCATCATCAATGGGTCTGCAGAATCTTGCCTTGTATACTCACTAGGGGGGCAGAGGCAGTAGGCGGGTTGTGAACTGGCAGTTTCGTCTTGGTATTACCTTACCTTAGGTAAGATAAACCTAAGTGTAAGCTTGGGGCGAGCACCCTGGTGCTCAACCTAAGTGTAAGCTTGGGGCGAGCACCCTGGTGCTCAACCTAAGTGTAAGCTTGGGGCGAGCACCCTGGTGCTCAACCTAAGTGTAAGCTTGGGGCGAACACCCTGGTGCTCGCCACACCAGGGTGTGGTGAGCCACCCTGGTGCGGCGTGCTACCCTGGTTAGGCAGGAGAATATAGCAAGTGTGGTAGAAAGATTTAAGAACAAATATACATTTAAATATTTGGTTAAATATAAATGTATTATTATTATTAAGCATAAACAAGCACGAGGAAAGCATAAAAGTTCATAGCAACGGGAGAGTGTTCACGCAAAATGAATTATACGAGACACATTCGTTTTTCTTGTGACAAATAAAAAAAGTTACATAAGTATAAAACTCTACAGAAAGTATTTAGGGAATGATTCGTGTTTCATGACATTGCATTGTGTTATCCTTTCTGGAGGTACCGTGGTTGTATTATATAGTAGTTGTGCTCTACGTTATGAATCAAACAGTGAAATCAGTTTATTTAAGTTGCGGAGAGGTTCTGTAGCTTTGGTCTCTTCATCAATATGGCAACACCTTATTGCCTATATTACGCTTGTATATTGCATCCCGCCATATTTATTTTTTCTTTTGAAGTTTTATTATACAAGATTGGTAATATGAAAGGTGCATAGTTAATCATCACAGGCATTAGAGCTCCCCAAATTCTGGGCAGGAAGGTGGAAAGCAGTGTGTGTTTCCTCTCTGTATCGCAGCACTGAAAAAGGTAACTAGCGGCTCTTGAGTCTCTTTATGTTCCGATGTGCATGGAACCCAGATTTTTATTATTATTATTGACACTTTTATCCCAGGCACAAGAGTCAACGATACAATTGTACTGATGATCCTGTTGTCTGTACTTATGGGTTTTGTCGCATGAATTGCGTGTAGCAGCACCACAGGCATGAGACTGTTAAGTGCAATTACACTCCACCTTTCATATAAGGATGTTGGTTTAAGTCTAACCGTTATGCTTATTTTGCCATATATTCGGTGGAAAGTTATTGCAAAGATTCTTTATGTGTGCAGTCAGGAAGGACTTCAAGGCGGAGGCAGCCACATTGAAGATAGGAGGGAAGACGAAAACACGATTAAGAACATCAAGGCTCTTCCTTTCTACTCCATCTTGCAAGCCATCAACATCACCCGCATCGACTTCTTGTCTCTAGATGTTGAGTCTGTCGAACTACAGGTGAGTCTTGTTCACGAAGCTGCAGATGTGTCTTATTAAGTCCACCGGGCTTGGTGACTACCAAACTGTAGGTGAGTCATGTTCCACTTGGAACACTAGGGGGTTCCAAGTACCATTGCTTCATGCTTCTCTCCTAATGGATAGACATTCTCTCAATTAAAACTGCTTCCAGTTCAGTGTCGAAGGTGTTCAGACCAGAGGTTGTTCTTCTCCCATAGCGCAAACACCTGTAGCTTCCCGGCGAAGCTACTATAGTACTCGAAGCTTCAATGAATATCATTCCTTTCGCAGGTGCTGAGGACGATCCCATGGGACAAGATCAGGGTGCGACTCATGTGTATAGAGTGCAACAAGGTGCCTGAAGGCAGACCGGCCTTGGTCAAGTTCCTCGCAGAACGAGGCTACGTTTTCATCGGTCACCGGGTCATAGACTGCTGGTTCGGTTGGCCAGACCTGCTCAGGGAAACTTCGCTATGATATTTAACGCCAGAAGCTACCTGACGCCAGTAATACCCGCGGTCTTAAAGACAGCTGCAATTTTCTGCTAATGCTCGGTCCCTCAGTCACTGGAGGAATAGTAAAGCCTATCAACCTCTGGAGGGTTATTAAGTAATATCAATATCTGGAGGGTTATTAAATCATATCAACCTCTGGAGGGTTATTAAATCATATCAACCTCTAGAGGGTTATTATATCATATCAACCTCTTGAGGATTATAAAGGTCTATCAACCTCTGGGTTATTAAGGTCTAACGCCATTGAGGAGATCCTTGGTAAGAAAATCACAAACTTCAGGAGGATGGAAGACAGAATAGGTGACATCGATGCCCACGATGCTTTTTATCTCCTCACTAAATGCCTATCCCTTCCGAGGCTAACCTACTTTCTGAGGTGCGCCCCATCCTACGACAGCCAAAAGCCTGAAGAGTATGACCTGTTATTGAAGACTATGCTGGAAAAAGTTGTTAACCTCTCCCTCAACGAATGTCAGGCTCGGCGGCTTGGGTGTCCGCACCGCCACCCAAATTATTGTCTTCCTGTCTTCCTCCTCAGCATCAGATGACCTGGTTAAGGAAATCCTACCGGCCAACCTGTGGGACTTAGCGGGGATACAGGACCCCACTACACGGAATACGACACGAAATGGGGTGCCATGGCAGACCCAGCACTCAGACCAGCCATGCCGAAAGCCAAGAAACAATCCAGTTGGGACAGCCCAATTGTAGACAAAGAAGCCACAGCTTTGCTGGAGGCAGCAACAGCCCCTAGTAATCGTGCACGCCTCACAGCTGTGCAAGCTCCCCATGCAGGGGACTTCCTTTTGGCAGTCCCTATGTCTGCGACAGGCACACGTCTTGATCCGCAGGAGCTCTGTATTGCAGTTTCTTTCCGCCTTGCTGCTCCTATCCACACTGTTCATAGGTGTATTTGCGGCGAGGCAGAGGTAGACGAATATGGATTGCATGGCCTGCACTGTGGAAAATCTGGCGGTTGGCACACTAGACACGACGAAGTCAATGACATCAAGGAGCCTTGCCTCTGCCCAGTGTCCAGCAGAGAGAGGAACCAAAAACCCCGGTTCAATCAATATTGAACCGTGACTCTTATCTTTGCCGGCCGACCAGACGGAACCACACAGCCCCCTTAGAAGAGCGGCAGACAGTTGGCGTGGGACTATACTTGCGTATCCACCCTGGCAACCACATACATCAACCTCTCTGTTGGCTAAGCAGAAGCCGCGGCGACACACACAGAAAGAAACAAGTCAACCAAGTACAGGGAAATAGATCACCGATACAACTTCGCTCCAATAGAATTCGAGACCCTTAGTCCATGGGAAAAAGAGCGCAAAAAGTTATTTAAGGATCTTGGTTTCAGGCTCATTGACCCTACAAGAGATCCTAGAGCGGCAAGTTTTCTCTTCCAGCGCCTCAGTGTCGCGATCCAGAGGGGGAATGCCTGCTGCGTTCTCGGTTCCTGCCCGACGTCGGAGGAGTTCGAAGAAATCTACAGCCTCTAGGAAACAAACTTCCCCTTATTTCCTCTTTATTTCCTCTTTTTGTAAACCATCAGATATGTAACTGTATAACCTTGTATAATAAAGTATACACCATAAAAAAGGGGGGAGGGGTGGTAGGAGAAGTGAACACTCATACGTGTTCAGAGTTAAATTGCAAGTTTTTCTCTGAATGCTCTGTGTTCCCTTCTTTGAGGCTGTGGGTCCCTACAATTGCACCGGAGGTGGTACCCTCCTATATATATATCATATATTATATATATATATATATATATATATATATATATATATATCATGGGGATATATATATCATATATTATATATACATATATATTATATATATATATATATATATATATATATATATATATATATATATATATATATATATATATATATATATATATATATATATAAAGGGGGGGGGTAACCGGCGTTGCCCGGTCTGTCACCTAACTGTTCACCAATCCATCCATCTATTTCTGCATTCATCTATCTATCCATCCGTCTATCAATCTACTTATCCTTATCCAGTATGTCTATATAGTACATGGAAGGAACATGAGGCCAAGGAGCGGGAGTATGAGGCCAAGGAGCGGAGTATGAGGCCAAGGAGCGGGAGTATGAGGCCAAGGAGCGGAGTATGAGGTCAAGGAGCGGGAGTATGAGGCCAAGGAGCTGGGAGTATGAGGCCAAGGAGCTGGGAGTATGAGGCCAAGGAGCGGAGTATGAGGCCAAGGAGCGGGAGTATGAGGCCAAGGAGCGGGGAGTATGAGGCCAAGGAGCTGGGAGTATGAGGTCAAGGAGCGGGAGTATGAGGCCAAGGAGCTGGAGTATGAGGTCAAGGAGCGGAGTATGAGGCCAAGGAGCTGGGAGTATGAGGCCAAGGAGCTGGGAGTATGAGGCCAAGGAGCGGGAGTATGAGGCCAAGGAGCGGGAGTATGAGGCCAAGGAGCGGGAGTATGAGGCCAAGGAGCTGGAGTATGAGGCCAAGGAGCGGGAGTATGAGGCCAAGGAGCTGGGAGTATGAGGCCAAGGAGCTGGGAGTATGAGGCCAAGGAGCGGGAGTATGAGGCCAAGGAGCGGGAGTATGAGGCCAAGGAGCGGGAGTATGAGGCCAAGGAGCGGGAGTATGAGGCCAAGGAGCGGGAGTATGAGGCCAAGGAGCGGGAGTATGAGGCCAAGGAGCGGGAGTATGAGGCCAAGGAGCGGGAGTATGAGGCCAAGGAGCTGGGAGTATGAGGCCAAGGAGCGGGAGTATGAGGCCAAGGAGCGGGAGTATGAGGCCAAGGAGCTGGGAGTATGAGGCCAAGGAGCTGGGAGTATGAGGCCAAGGAGCTGGGAGTATGAGGCCAAGGAGCGGGAGTATGAGGCCAAGGAGCGGGAGTATGAGGCCAAGGAGCGGAGTATGAGGCCAAGGAGCGGAGTATGAGGCCAAGGAGCGGGAGTATGAGGCCAAGGAGCGGAGTATGAGGCCAAGGAGCTGGAGTATGAGGCCAAGGAGCTGGAGTATGAGGCCAAGGAGCTGGGAGTATGAGGCCAAGGAGCTGGGAGTATGAGGCCAAGGAGCTGGAGTATGAGGCCAAGGAGCGGGAGTATGAGGCCAAGGAGCGGAGTATGAGGTCAAGGAGCTGGGAGTATGAGGCCAAGGAGCTGGAGTATGAGGCCAAGGAGCTGGGAGTATGAGGACAAGGAGCGGGAGTATGAGGCCAAGGAGCGGGAGTATGAGGCCAAGGAGCGGGAGTATGAGGCCAAGGAGCTGGAGTATGAGGTCAAGGAGCGGGAGTATGAGGCCAAGGAGCGGGAGTATGAGGCCAAGGAGCTGGGAGTATGAGGCCAAGGAGCGGGAGTATGAGGCCAAGGAGCGGGAGTATGAGGCCAAGGAGCGGGAGTATGAGGCCAAGGAGCGGGAGTATGAGGTCAAGGAGCTGGAGTATGAGGCCAAGGAGCGGGATGTGTGGGGGTAGAAATAACCTAAGCTACTCTATCCCTTTGAGATGTATTTCTTTCTTGTCTCAATAAACATACTTGAACTCAAATGAGTAACAGACAAAAATGTTACCTGATGGCACCTGACAAGACCTGGAATTGTCATTATCCATCAAAGTCACTGGATCACAAGTTCACAACTTCCTAGTGCGCGCCAAGACGTATCCTTCCTCCAGCGCCACTAGGACTACCGCCAGCCTCGTCAGTGACCGCAGTTCAGGAAGTGTTCTCGCACGCTCTTTCAACCTGTCCTCTTAAAAATTACGTCGCTTTTGGCCATTTGCCAGTATGGCCGATAATGGACGTAATTTCAAAATGAAAATAAATTTTGATTTTTTTTTTCCCAAAAACGGTAAGTTAAGGGTCCTCTGATAGGTTAGGTGGGCAGGAAATTCTCCTTAAGTTTCAAGACGTCATGAAAAATGTTTTAAAAGTTTCCTCTCCTAACCTTTCCGAGTAAGCCAGAGAACTGAAACAGAAAACGGGAAAGTACATCAATTTTGTAAGCCGATTTCATTTAAAATTACGTCCATTTTTGGCCATAGCGCACATACGAGCGAAAAGCTACGTTATATTTAAAGAGAACGGGTTGAACTGGTAACGCACCCTTGAACGCTAAAACAAACAGCGGAAGTGAACAGAAATCAGAGTTCAGAGAGTTCCATTGTACTCGCTCTGGAAGACTTGTGTATCTTTATCTTTATCTTGTGTAGTGCGACCAGTAACACCGGACAGGAATAACAGGGGAAAGGCCTCTGAATAAAGACTGTCACAATAACGTGGTTCAAGATACGGCCAAACACGCATCAGAAAGTGAAGAAATGGCGACGTTTCCGACTGTCCTGAAGCATTATTAAAAATTACGTCGCTTTTGGCCATTTGTCAGTATGGCCGATAATGGACGTAAACCATTCTCACAAACCCAATGTACCTTCTTGTATATATATAAATAAAATAAAATAAATAAATAAAATTATTAAGACGTCTTTCAAAACGAAACGGACCGAAACGTCGGCGTTTTTTTTTTACTTCCTGCTGTGTGGTCTGGTCATCATGCCCCCGAATAATGATGCTTTTGTCTAACGTAACTACTCAATTGACATAAATTCTTTGAAATATGTATTACTCTACCGGATAATATATAATTTTACAGGTCAGTTTATTTGTATTGCCTTTTTGCAACTTCAAAATTTTGTGTCTAATGAACATGTACATATATATATACATGAAAACGAAGCTTTATTATATCAAAGGTAAATATGTATTTCATTGTAAAACCATAAGACTATGTAATATTTAAAACAATACTTTAGCAATTTTATTGTAATTAAAATTATGAATGTTTTTTTAAATTATACTTTTTGCTTGTAAACAAATTTATATTTAATTGAATATATTTATATAAAATGTTTAAATTATTATTTATTTACAAAAGCCATAGAAACACTATACCACAATCATTGTAATTACATTCTTCACACCTTCGATTTTAATTTGATAGTTTTAGTTTTAACAGA